ACTCTTTCAGCATTTAAGTTGCCGGATGACATGAGGCGAGCAGTACATGAACTCAGATGAACAGCCATCTCACGCTTAGATCCAATGCAGAAAGTTAAAAACTTTGACCTGTAATTCGTGGTATGGATTATGAGAATCGAAGGCGAATCAAATAGAAGGAATGGGGCTCCTAAGCAAGGAAACACCTAAGCAGGACATTCAGGGAAGATATTTTACACATCCGGATAAACATTCCAATTCCATGAACATGAAATTTTACAGAAAAATCTCATACTTTTCCCCGAGAGACACCAGAATGAGATTTTGCCGCGGCGATTACCATTTATACTTGTTTTCCCGGGAACCAAACAACATTAGTGAGATTAAACAAGTAACTTCTTCTCCCCAGGCGAAATTTCCCTCCCCTCAAACGGAACAATTCCGAGAAAATCTCTTAAGAAGTATAGTGTGAGTAAAATGGGTTTCATGACTGAGATTTTCAAATTTCTTTAATTTTCTAAGAAAAAAAAAACATAACCGAAAACATCCTAGCTTTCAGAAACCCATCACAAGTTCACAACCCACCAAACACAAAACGGAACCAGAGGAAATTATCCCACCAGACGATCGGACCGCCAAGAACAAAACCCTAACCCTCTGAAAATCAAATTCCATTCACGCAGAAAACATCCTAGATTTCAGTAAACCCATCACAAGTTCACAACCCACCAAACACAAAACGGAACCAGAGGAAATTACCCCACCAGACGATCGGACCGCAAAGAACAAAACCCTAACTCTGAAAATCAAATTCCAATCACGCAGAAAACGGATTGATATCAGGCAAAGGGATTACCGGGAAATTATTCCGAGAAAAGATAAAACTTTTCGACCACTGGAACGCGTCTGAGACGTAACTCCTTCAAAGGTGTCGTCTTATTTTGTGTTCGGCCTGAAAAATCAGATGGTCGTAGTCCAAGATATATTTCCAGAACGCGTGTGTAAAGAATAAAATAAAAGAAAACTAATATATATGTGTATATATATATATGTGGGATGAGGTTCGAGGCAGGTTCTAACGTCCGTTAAAAGGGAAGCTGGGACGGGTATGTGAAAAAAACAACAAACGCCTTTGCTCAGCTTTAACGATAACGGAAGACGTTACGTGGTGTTGTTTGGTACCTGGACTCTTTTTTTTTCTTCTTATTTTGGTGAAATGATTACAAAGCTGCTTATCTTTTAAAAAAATATTTGTCCGATACATTATTAGAGAGAAGCTATTGTTTGCAGACGGTTGAGTTTACAATTAGAAATAATGGAAATAATATCTGGTATTTGTTACATACGGTTAAAGCATGAAGGAGTAGATCCATATATAGAGACAAAACAGGTTTCAATCAAGTTATATTACAAGATTCCTTCTAATAGAGAGTTGTCAACTTGAATTTTGTTGAATTGAAATCAAGGGTACTATGGAAAGTATCTTAAATTTCTTACATCATTGTATTTCCAATGAGGGAAACTTTTTTTGTTAATATATTTAAATATAGATAAAATATATTTACATATAAAAAAATATAAAGAATATTATAGTATAGAGAATTGTAAAAAAATTAAATACTTGTCTAATACTAAATAATTTAGAATGTAATATTTTCACAAATGATATAATCAAAATCACAATACCATTAGTCAAAAATAATTATTTCAATTGAAAATTTTAATAATTTAATAATTTAAAAAATTTATAATCATATTAAATTAAAGAATTTAAATTTTAGTTTATATTAAATCAATATATATATCTTTTTTATCCAATTTTTTCTTTTATTATGCGAAATATATTAAATTTTTATACTTTAATTACCTTAATTAGTTTTATTATTTTTTTGTATTTTTTAAACTTTAAAATCAAAAGCGTGATTTGAATCCAAAAAAAAGTCCATACGGTCAGAATTCGGGCCGAAAATTTAAGGTCCGCTCATGTTTTAGGCCGACCCGATCGGACCCGTAAATATTCGGGCTTGTGTTAGGATCGGGTTGGACCGGTCCGGCTCGGTCATTTTGACACCCTACCCTTTATTGTATTTCCAAAAACTATAGAAATTGGGTATATTTTAAATTTTTAGGTGAGTTTTCACCATATCTCGATCTGCTTAACCATTCCAATGGTTTTCGCTTTCCCGAGACCGGAGACGAAAATTTTAGAGCTTTTATGACCAAAAGAAACTCAAAGTTGTCATCTTGTTTTACACTATTATATATATATATATATATATATATACACATATGATAGCTCTGATATTTTCTCGAAATGAATATGATACTAGCATGTGAGAGCCAGTTGTCCAAAATTCTATACTCGATAAGATTGGATTTGGTATAAGAAAAATCTGACCCAAAGATCGATTTCGAATTCCGATAATTAGGTTGGATACTAAATGCACAGTAACAATGATATTTTTGTTACTGTGCATTTAAAACGAGTTAGATATAAACCTAAAATTTTGAATTGAAATCTCTAGACACTTGACTTTGAAACTTAGGTTTCGGACTCCAATGACTAAATAATCTTGGGTATTCGATCCAAATTAAACCTCAGTAGTTAGTACATGTGCACGATAGTATTTGGAGGGAAAAAAATTGAAATTTTGCATTTAAATCTTGGGCTTGTATATATGCGGATATCTAAAGATTATCCAGGATACCCAAAAGTCGGGTACCCGATCGAAATAGATCCAATATCATATAATTTATCGTGAGATCCAAAATGTCTGTATTGGAGAACCCAAAAGTCTCGGGTATCTGAGTTGAGCCAACACACTATTATATGATCTCGATTACCATACCTTTTCTAAGATCGTCTCACGTTTATGGTTGGGTCGTGATCCTTAGAGATCGCTCCCGATTCCATCACTTGAGAGCAGGGCAATGCTTATGCAACGACTAATGGTGAAAATATGACAATCCTCATAAGTTTTTTCAGTCTACTTAGAAGTGTCTAGAAGATAATTTGATTCAAAAGTCGAAACCGAAATACCGAAAATTCTGTCATGTTCCAAAATCTTGAAACTGTCTCTAATTTCTCACTCCTGAATCTACCTTCTCTCTCGGATGGCATATCCATTTGAGTTAATTGGCACTGCTGGCTTGTTAACGAATGTGATATCCTTCTCGATGATGGCCTTCAGTTCCGGTTTAAGAGTTTCTAGTGCCTTCAACTCATATTTCGTCAGTTTCTAGAGGTTGGATTCGATCAGAGCCTAGACTTCCACTACAAGAAAAACATGAATTTGCGACAGAAAAATCTATCGCTAATACAAAACAAATCTGTCGCAATTAAAAATTTGCGACAGAATTGTTTCTGCCCATATATCGTTGTCGCAAAAATTTGTGAGTCGCCAATCTGTCGCAATTTTGCGACAGAGTTGTGCGACAGATTTGCGACAGATTATTCTATCGCTTTTATATTTTTTTAATTTAAAAAAAATATAAAAAATATATTATACATATGCATATATATATATATATATATATATCTACATATACATATATTATACATATACATATATATACACACATATTCATACACATACACATACATATACATTTACATTTACATACACATACACACATTCATACCCATATATATACACATATAAATTTACATATACATATATATACACTTACACATATACATTACACACATTCATACATATTCACACACACATATATATATATATGCATAAACACACATACACATTCACATATACACATTCACATACACATATACACATTCAAATACATAAACACACATACATATTCACATTCACATTCATATACATACACAACACACATACACACACATACATAAACACATACACATTCACTTACACACATACACATATTCACATACATGCATACACACATGCACATACACACATTTACATTCACATATATACACAACACACACATACACATACACATACATATTCACACATATATACATATATATTCACATATATACATATATATATTCATATATTTACATATATACGCATACAAATTCACATATATACACACATACCTTAACAAATTTTGAAGAAAAACGATTGTGGACAAAAATTTTGACAGATTTTGATTTTTGGTTGAAATTTCAAAGTCTGGAGGAGAAAGACGAAGTCACGACTTTTATTAAGTGTTGTGCCGGATATGTTCGTCGCAAATTCGTCACAAAGGCAAAAAAATCGAAATAAAAACCGCGAAAATTTGAAATTTTTCAGCGAAAATGACGGTTGGAACAGAAATATCTGTCGCAAATCTGTCGCAAGAAGTTGCGACATATATCTCTGTCGCACATCTGTCGCAAAATTAAATAAAATTAATAAATGCGACAGACTTTCCGTCGCATATAAGGTTTGTTTTTACGATGGATACGATTCTGTCACACATTTGCAAGGGATTTTGCGACTTCAAATTTTTTTTTCGTATTCCGTCGCAAATCTGTCGTATTCTGGCACAAAGTCTGACGCAATTTAAAGATTTTCTTGTAGTGTTCATTCTTCCCGAACTTGACCCGTGACACAAAGAACGAAAGTCCAGTCAGATTCGACTCCACAAACGAGCATTCGTATACATCTCTGTCTCCATCCAGAGCCTAGAGCGATGGCTCAATAAATCTAGCTGCAGCATACGCCATTGACAAGGTAGCTAATCTTGTCCCTGTCTTTGTTTCCACCACTTCAGTTCCAGGGTTCTGAATCCTAATAGTCAACTCTTCCATTTCTTTGTCGGTGAAGTTCACAGAGAGTTTAATTGGTTTTTGAGAAAAAGGGCAAAACGATAATCCTGTCATGGCCACAGATGACATGTACGCCAACATCTATGAGTTTAAGGTTCTTTTTCTGAGCAACAAAAGTGTTTGCCCTCACAACATCCAGTGCATGTGGTTTCTTGAGATCATATGCACCTTTTTGTTTCAAAACTTCAGTGGCGATTAGTACGGCGGAGTTAACCGGGTTGTTGATCACGTGGATAAAGGCATTAGGACAGTTATCAGCAACATCCTCAACCAAGGGATCTTGACAATATTAGCAATGATGTTGAAGAGATCATCGCGGGTCATACCGGATTTTCTTGGTACAACAGTAAGGATGGTGTTACACCCTGAGCTTCCGAATCACCTGCAAAACAAAGAACAAGAAACGCAATCGAAAACCAAAAGCAAGAAATCGAAACAGAGAGACAAGAGATTACGAGTTCGGATTCAAGCGTTGTGCTTGATCCTACGTCTCGGTAAGGTCTGGGTAGTTTATTGATTGTGGTTGGGAACAACACGAACAGGAGAATTTCACCGAGATCTCTCTCAGTATCTGGGTTACAAGAATCAGAAAAAATGAGCTCTTCTTTAATGGTGTCCTTCGTCTCAGACTTTTAATAAAGTCTCCAACAAACCCAACTTCGAAATTACCAGCATGCCCTTGGGTCCATTAAACAACAATTCCTTCAAAAGCGACGTCGTCTTCCACTAACGTGGAACCTTCTGATTGAAACTGAAGTTCTTCCTGAGCTTAATACTCACAGACGAAGCTCCACAAATATGCAGATATCAACCCACAAATCTCCACCTTATCTGCTTATTACTCAGCCACTTAACAGTCCATTACCCAGACCTTCATGACCATTTTTCAATCACCGGTCAATCTCAGCAATCTCAACAGTTTGTCGAGTTTGCTGACGGGAATTGTTTTCGTGAGTGCATCTGCAGGGTTCTCATCGGTGTGGATTTTCAGAACATTCACCAAACCTTCAGAAATAATGTCTCTGATAAAATGTAGTCGGATGTCAATATGCTTCGTCCTTTCATGGTGTACACTGTTCTTCGAAAGACTGATCGCACTCTGAGAATCACAAAACACTTCCACTGATTTCTGCTCAAAACCGAGTTCTTCTACTAAACCTTTTAACCACAAACCTTCTTTTATTGCCTCTGTCAGAGCTATGTATTCC